TAGATATCAAATCTAATTCGTTACTTTTACCTAGGTGGCGATATAATTTTTTAATTCAAAAAAAAATATATAGTGATAATTCTTATTTTAAAATAAATTGTGAGTTTATATTTTGATGAAATTCATAATCTTAAAAGATAATCTTTTATATTTTATTAAATTAAACTTTAAAATCTCATTCGCTAGTTTTGCTTATGTGGTATTTGAATTATTTATTTTTAAAAGAAATTATAAATCTCTCATGTGATTGACTATAATTAAAATTTATAATCCTACATGGCGCGTTATCTTGCTCTCTAAAAACTCGGGAAAAAAACTCCCCTATAAACATTTTGGTTTGAATGTTAAATACGGTTATATAATCACTTTTGATAATGCAGGATATATATTTAGACATGCGATATCACCCTTAAATTATTTTTATTAAACTGAAAGTATGTTTACCAAATAAAACTTATTTTTACTAATTCTCTATTATTTTAAATATATTATAAATGGATATTATTTTAAATAATTTTTTAAAACGAATTTTATGATGGAAATAGAACCGAGTTATTAGATTTTTATTAAAAGTTATAATTAATTTTGTATATATGAAATATTAAATGTATACCGGCAATAAAATCTATACAACAATTTTATTTTAAAAAATCTATCCAAAATTCGCTTACTTAGCATCATGTGTCACAATAATACCTAGTTTTCGCCTACGTGGCTCGACACTTGGCGAAAAACTAAAATGCCAAGAAGTCTCGCTGTCTTGTAGCTTGGCTGCGAGACCCACTTTATTTATTAGTGATATATATATATATATATATATATATATATATATATATATATATATATATATATATATATATATATATATATATATTAGATTAATTCATGCTCTTTATCAAAAGAGATTATATGTATTTTTTAGAGTACTCATATGTGATAAAATTAAACCTTTAAACCCAAAAATTTATCTTAAAATATTATCAACCCGGGCCCTACACAGAAATGTTGCAACAATGGAGGGTAGCTTTTCAAGCAATTTTGAAGAATTGAAGAGAACCTACACGCATCTATAGAATTATTTAGTTATTTACAGTAGTGTACATTGGAAATTTGGAAGTAAATAGGGCAAGGGCATGTACAAATATGCTTCATCTTCGGAAGACACCAGAACATCGGAACAGAGTTAAAAATTACAACAGAAGCGGCTCACTGAATTTACCAATAATCATTCGCCTGTGTATCTTGGCTTTCGCTTCTCAGCAAATGCTGCTAAGCCTTCTAATCGATCTTTGGTATTTAAAACTTTCTGATAACACTCTTCTTCCAATCTTAAAGCTGATGTCATATCCATATCAAGTCCTTCATTAATAGCTCGTTTTGCCATTCTCACAGCCACTGGACCCTGTCAATAGAGAATGAATGATGAACACCAAAAGTTAGAGGGAACATCATTTATGGGGCTTAATGAAACGTACGAATCAACTCTCATCTACATTCAAAACCTGGGAAGCAACAAATAAAACAACTTAACACTCCAAAGATCTCAAGTAGTATGAATCAAACATGTTATAAACTAAAGAGAAGCAACCAGTTATAGTTATATCCTTGGAGAGGATAAAAATAAGCATGATGATTCAAGACAGTGCCCAATCAAGGCAGAAGAAATCAAGTCATTTACTATAATCATGTCATGATTTACCACAATGTCTCATCAAAAGCAGAAGAAAGCAAAGAACAAATTTTTAAGGCATATATAAAGAACCTTCTGATTTATCTCCCGTGCAATTTCAAGACCCTTGGAATAAGCTGAACCAGGAGACACACAGTAATTCACGAGACCTGCATCACAACCCACTTTAAATGCTAAGATAAATCAACTGATATTATTCTATCAGACAGACAGGAGTTTAGTTAAAGTCAACATACCCATAGATAATGCCTCTGTACCAGAAATTTTACGGCCAGTAAATATAAGTTCCTTAGCTGCAGATTTTCCTACCAATCTAGCAAGCCGCTGAGTGCCACCTGCTCTGTGGGACAACCAGTTGAGGAATCAGCAACTGAAATCTTATCTTCTGTGAGCACCATGTAATGCTAATATCTAGACCTGAAGTGTCCAACTATAACATACTGTGGTATTCAACTTCTAACTCCACTATATTCATAGCCCTAGATGACAAGTAAATATCAACACGTATCCAGCACAGTTGGAAAAACAGCAAACAAATATGTAACAAGCTGCCGTAGCATCTATTGTATTTGAAAAACAGCGCAGCTGAAGGTTTCATTTTAAAGTGAAAGCTGCACATACCCAGGAATTATAGCAAGTCCAGTCTCTGGCAAGCCCATTACAGAATCTTCACCTAGCCAAACAAGTACAAACATCAATATGAAGGCTTTACAGCATCATAAGGGTTGATTCTTTTTAAACTTTTAATCACCAAAACTAGGAAGCTCACTTATTTACCACATATTCGAAGATCACACGACAAGGCCATTTCCAGTCCTCCTCCTAGAGCTGCTCCTTCCATGACAGCAATAGTGGGAATATTAAGTGCCTGAGAATGTTTAGCAATTGTCACTCCTGATTACATGATGGAATATTAATAACCAAAAGCACAGATTCTCCAAAGGATAGATTTTGATTAACACACAACTTTTAGTAAGAAGTACTGCCCAGTGCTGTTCTTGAAATGTCATATTGTCAAACAAAGAATTTGCCTTTTTCCCAGCACAAGAAGAGTCAAGTTAAAATGCAAGGAGAAATTGCAAATAGCTGCACAAATTCCTGATTAACACAATTCTCCTTGCACAAGTAATAGCACATGCCATATGCCAATAGTGAATATTGATAAAGTACAAACCTCCAACAGTGAAAATGTAGATCGAAGAGTATTTACAAAGGTTTGGACCTCAATTGGTGACATTGCTCTTCGTTCCTGCATACACATATAGAAGAACAAATCTAAGCTCAAGATAGCACCAAATGAATGTGGTGATAGAGAGGCACAGAGGCACTTAAGAAAAAAAGACCGTCATCTGGTTGTGGGATTGATGGAAGAGCATAACAACCAACATAATGTCAAGCATACCTTTAAATCAGCACCAGCACAAAAGACTTTTGGAACTGAACTGCAAATCATCATGACTTTGGAAGAGAAGTCTCTGTTTATAGTTTCGAGACTATGTTCTAAGCCAGTAAGCATATCCTTCCCAATGGCATTTTTTGATCCTGGTCTATCTAAGGTAAGCTCAACAATCCCTGAAAAACAAAGCAATCAAGCTATAATAAAAACAATAGAATTCACAAAATAATCTCCAGAGGTTTTGTTTTCCTGATAAAAAAGCAAACACAACTTTCTGTTATCATCATTGCTGTTGTTAGTCTTGTTACTACTATTATCGTCAAATAAAAATATTTGGAAATTAGCAAATTTCTACTTTCCCATATTTTTATCTCACTTGTTAAAAATAAATTATCTGAAAGTCCTTTGAAATAGTCTCTAACAGTGTTACATAATTTGCTAACTCCATGCAAATTGCGATAAGTGAAATGTGGTTAACTTTGGGCTATTTTTAACCCACTTTGGCGAATTATGAATTCAAATGGCAAATTAGATTGTGAATTAGGTAACACAGTTCTCTAAATATTCTTAGACTACATAAGAGGAATGATTTGGGACTTTGGGTACATTGTCTTAAACTTTGTGAAACCAACTAGGGGCAGAATATACTCTCAACGGGAAGATAGGAAAAGGGAAGTAGTAGAGGCAGCATCAAAAACATTCCACAGTGCATTCTCAACAACAAATTACGGCAACTACTATAAGTTCGGAATCAAATTGATCCGGTACACTTTTTTGTTGCAAAAAGGCCTCTGAATCACGAAGGAGAGGACATGGTGAAAAAGGCTCAAGCCGCTCAACCCTCAAAGCGTTTAAGTCATTGCCTACACTACCCGTTTGATTAGATCCATTCATCAGCACTCACATTGATACTGACTCATATTCCAATGTGTCAGTAGTGCAATGGTGAAAAATGGAGACAATCACTTGCAGCTGCTAATGGTGCCTACATTTCTTTGTACTCGGACAATCTTGTTCACAATAAAGGAGCAGAAGGGTGACGAGCTAGATGCTAGAAAACCTGGTTCAACCATTTGGATGCATTACTTAATTTAGTTTCTCAGTACAAATTCAAATCTTATTTCTTGTTTTCAACTCATATTATAGTTGTAAGCTATTTCGACCTTAAAACTCGAAACAAGACGATAAAATCCATGGAAAACAGTTCTATCAATAACAACTCGAAATATCAAAAAATTTACAACTAATCCAGCAAACAGTTACCAATAACAGCTAATGCAGTATCTGAAGGCCTAAGAAAAACCCAGTTAACTCAGTCTGATAACTCCTCAGTAGCAGATAGTACAATATAAACCAGAACAAAACAGCACAAAATTATGAATTACAAAACTTGTTAATACACATGCAGTCAACAAAAAAACAAGAAATTTAATTTTCCTCTCAATCAATAAACATGGAAATTTATGTCGTTGTCACACAATTACTGGTAATTAGGGTTGCAATTAAAAAATTAAATTAGGGTTTCTTTCTGAAGTTAAGGATGATAAAATTACCGGAATCGGAATCGGAGAGTCGTCGGAGCTTGACAGAATCAGAGACGGAGTCAAGTAAGAGACAACGGAAGCTCAGAAACTGCCATTGACGACATAAAATTGAGGGTTTCGAAATTCGACGACATTGTTGATTAATTGATCTTGCGAATGTTGGAAGAGCAACCATTTTTGTTTTGATTGAAATTTGAGGGTAAAATGATATCTAGCAACGAATTCTACAAGTCAATGTAAAGGACGGAATGAGTAGTTCGGAAGATGTTCCTTGGAATAACAACTCAATTGCTAAACATCGCCCGCGAATCTCCACATAAAGCCCACAAAATTAGAGTGAATTGTCACTTTTGCCCTCAAAGTAAAAAACACAATTTCTTCTCTCAATTCTCTACTTCCACTTTCTCTCTCTAAAAAACTTTCCGAGCGATGTCGAGGCGGCCCGGCAAGGAAGTGGCGGCACAGGCGGCGGGTGGACAGCGGTTTTCCGGCGAGAAGGTATTTTTTATTAATTTTGTGTTTAAAAATTAAAAAAAAAAAGGTCGGAGGCGGTGGTGGCGCCTAGGCCAGACGCCACCACCACGGCGGCGGCGTCTAGCCCAGACGCCACTACCACGGCAGCGGCGCCTAGGCCAGACGCCGTGACGGTGGCGGTGGCGTCTGGCCCAGGCGCCAGAACCACGGCACCGGCGTCTGGCCTAGGCGCCGCCGCCGTGGTAGTGGCGTCTGGGCTAGACGCCGCCGCCACCGTCACGGCGTCTGGCCTAGGCGCCGCCGCCTTTTTATTTTTTTTTTTAATTTTTTTTTGGTTTTAAATTTGAAATTTAATTTTCGAAAATAATTATTTTTTTTTTGATTTTTTTTTAAATTTGTTTTTCTTTTTTTTAATTTTAAATTTTATGTTTCTGATTTTTTTTTTTATTTTGTTTTAAATTTTGTTGGTTTTTTTTAAAAAAAATTTATGTTCCTCTTTTTTTTTTTTTAATTTTTAATTTTATGTTCTTGTTTATTGTTCTTGTTTTTTTTTTTTTTGAATTAGTTTTTTTACTTAAAAAAAATTTTATGTTCCCTTTTTTTTGTTATAAATTTTTTTTAAAATTTTGATGTTCTTCTTTTTTTAAGTTTTTATAATTTTATATTTTTCACTTTGTTTTTTCCAATTTGTTTTTTTTGGGTAATTTTTTTTTTGCTTTGTTTTTTCCAATTTTTTATTTATTTATTTATTAGGTTATTAATTTTTTTATTTTTAGGTTGTTAATATTTTGTAATGTTTTTAATTTATTTTCCATCATATGTATATTGTTTTATTTATTTATTTTAATTACTTTTTTTATGTTTATATTACATGTTTATATTGCATATTACATGTTTTGTTATTTTGTGTTAGGCATCGTATTTTCGTTCTGGGGCTGGGAAGAGTATGGACATTATGAGAAGTACGATGAACTCAATGGAGAGCTCGGGGCCCAGACACGTTAGATCCCGTGGTATTTCGGCCTCGGCTCGTAGAGAACGGGTGCACTATTCTGAGGATGATGAAGATGATGATGGTGATGAGGAGGAGGAGGAGGAGGATGCAGATGAGGATGTGGACGATCAGAGTGGACCATATGATGATTACGGTCCATTCAGTCAGAGGCTTGATGATGTGTATGAGACGCGTAGGGTAGACGTGCGTAAGGGTAGAGATGGTAGATTTGTTAGTAGATCTGGCACATCATCTGCGTCACTGCCGTGGATGCGGTACGTCTCATAAAACATTTGTAGTTGTGTTTTTTTTCATATAATACGTCTCATAATACGTCGTTATTGAATTTTATGTGTTTTGTTATGTGTAGTGGATGGGAAAGATGACGCAGTTGGGACACAGACTTTTTGAGGAGAGGGACAACATGACGACTGCAACAGGCAGAGCTGTTATTGATGAACTGGAACGGGCCCTTGAGCAGTGGCAGTGGGCGTCACAGAGAGATTATTGATATGTCGGCAGTGCATTTATAAAACATTTTCCTAGTTGTTTGTAAAAGTTAACATTATCTGTTCTTATAATTATTATTTTAAGTTCTTAGAATTTGACATTATATTTTTAGTTTTTATAACTTTTATTTTAAGTTGTAATTAGTGGGCATACGAAAACTAAATACAGGTTCACATTTAAATGGGAAAACTAAATACGAAAATTAGAATCCGAAAATTAAATAAATGGGAAAAACATAGCAATAGCAATATTAGGTCACATAGAAAAGGCAACTAGATTGTTCCACTGCTGCACCCGGTCATGATATAACGCATCCCAGCCCTCTACGCTTGCTGTACGAATGGTGTACCACGTTGGTATAATCGGTGGGACCGGAAAATCGGGTGACAGGTCCAGTCGGATGAAATGTCTGTATGACGGCCCCAGAAATCCAATAGCAACCTCTCTTACCGGTCTGGTGACGGTCTCACGCGAACACCAAGGCAGAACCGTGGTACACGGATAGTAAGCTCGACCATGCAAACCAAGGCCGAAATGCATCACTGCACACTTGTAGATGTTTGCAACGGCGAAGAGATCAAGGGGCGCGTCGAACCAATGATTTTGACCGCAACGTCCTCCTCCCCACCGGATACGCTGCAGAGACCTATCCAAGTCCTGTCCGTACACGTGGCGATAAACAGCTCGGTTTGAGGCGATTTCACTGTACATCAACTGACGCACTAAACCGTAGTTGTCTTCACCCATCTGAAACACATCAGCCACAACCCGAAATCCACAGTTACCATCTGCAACCACATCATTCCACCCGTCCAGGAACGGCATCATGATGTTAGGGATCCTGTCTTTATATGGAAAATGTTCAATGTCCATTCTGCCTGTTGCACACATCAAAAAACACAATTAACAAGTTAGCAGAAAACTAAACAAACACTCTAAAAAGTAAATTAAACTAAAGTACCGTACCGGTGCCGGGCATATTCACCGACGAAGATGTTTGACTACCACTTGATGACGATGTACGACCACGGCCACGACCACGACCACGACCACGAATGTACTCAAACGCACTCCTTTCCCGCCGTGGTTGTCGGCCCCGTGGTCGCTCGACCCCCTCAGGTTCCTCATGATCCAAGCACGACGAGTTGAACATGTCATGAAGTACGTGGGTAGCACTACGAATGACTGAAGGGTGGCTGGAGGACACTTGGTCAAACATCGAACGAAACTGCTCCAACTCCTCCTGTTCACGGTTGACTGTCTGTGGAACAGCATGCTCTCCGATAACGAGCGTCCGCCAGAATGTATGAACCTGATCAACATGTAACGACGCCCTATCTTGCGTAATTACGCGGTGAATGGTGCATGCACAAGGTAGTCCATGAGTCACCGATATAGCACATCCGCACCGAATAGCCACTTCATCACCCAACTCCCTCATCCTGGTGTGCTCGCTCAGAATCAACCCCAAGCAGTAGTGTGACACACGACCATGGAGAATCTTAAATATGAAATGGCTATACATCGTGCCATGTCGCCGTCTGGAGTCCTCGAGAGAGTTCTTGATGCCGTTCCTCTGAGTATCAATAGCCTTGTTTATTCTCTCGAACAGTGTATCCAGAGCAGAGGTGGAAGAATCAATCCAGTCCTTCAGAGCTCTATGAGCGCTCTCAACTCTACATGTAGTAGTGTTTCCAAAATGAAGAACTTGGTTTGTCCAATATTTGACAAACTTTTCCCTCTGAGGCACCCACTGCTGCATCACATAGTCTACGATTGCCGGGCACCATTGGTATGCATCCTTGAAGTTATCCAAGGCTCGGTCGTACTCTGCCTCCGTGGTAGCTTGCAGGATCTTCCGCCACTTACCATTTACCAATCTCTCTGCTGAATCTAAGTTCTTGTTGAAAAGGTTGTAGGCTTTGACTTTCACGCATTTGTTGATGTGCCATGTGCACAGTAAATGGCTCGACTCCGGAAACAGCTCCGCTATAGGGGCAAAGAGACCTCCCTCACAATCGCTGACGATGGCCGATGGCTGAACACTTGGGCCGATGTAATTTCTCAACTTCTCCAACACCCAACGGTAACTCGCAACCGTCTCATCCTTCATAACTGCATAACCAATCAAAAAGTTCTGGTTCGTTGGAGTCATCCCAACCATCTCAACCAGTGGAAACTTATACTTGTTTGTCTTGTACGTTGAATCGATCAGAATCACAGATGGCCAAGACGAAATCATATCAGCACAATCAGGATGCACAAGGAACAAATGAGTCACCTCCGATGTGTCTTCATCAGATTCAAACCAGTACAGGTAACCACGTGCTTGTGCCTGGTGTAGAAGCTGCTGTATAGGGTTCCTTCCCTCTGACCGTTCAAACCTCAATTTATGTCTGACGTTGTAGATGTGTCTTCGGTTTGGCTGGTCTTCAGGAAATTTCTCCAACACAGATGCTAATATTTTAGCAGGCTTCACTTGAGCATCACTCATTTCTTTTACAATTAGTTTCGCAGCAGGACTTAGGCCACTTAACTGTCGATGACCCACTTCATATGCGATCATCTCATGGTTGTGATACCCCCATTTACCGTAACTCTTCACTTCCCAACCGTCACCCCTTTGCTGTTGTCGAACCTTTACTCTGAACTGACACCCACAACCTTTCCGCTTTGTATCAAACCGAATCGCTTGACTAAAATCTCGTTCCTCCCTTTTGCGATAACGGTCGCATCTCAAAATGCGATCCATTCTACCATCCCGTTGAGATTTATGAGTTGCTACTACTAAACAAAAACCTGATCTAATTGCAACCTGTTTCGCCCAATCAACCGCTTGTTGAGCATCTTCGAACAGACCATCGTGTACAAAAATCCCACTATAATCATTTCCGTCTCCACCATAATCCTGCAACAATAACATATAAATATAATCACATAAGAGTAGATTAAATTAATACATTTGACACAACATTAGCACAAAAGCAAAAACAATAATAAATTATAAACAACAAACAAAGAAATAAACAAAAAGTATTCAAAAAAAAAAAAAAAAACAAAACACAAAAATAAAAAACATAAACAAAACTTTAGATTAAATAAATAAAAATAAACCAAAAAAATAAAAACAAAAAAAAAACATAAAACGAAAAAAATTGTAAAAAAAAAAATAAAAAATAAATAAATTAAAAACAAAAACAAATTAAAACAATTAAAAACAAAACAAAAAAAAAACCAAAAAAAAAAGAAAAAAATTGTAACACAAAAAAAAAAAATAAACAAATTTTAAATTAAATTAAAAAAAAAAAAAAAAAAAAATAGTGGTGGCGCCTAGCCAGGACGCCGCCACCGTGGCGGTGGCGTCTAGCCAGGACGCCGCCACCGTGGCGGTGGCGCCTGGCCAGGACGCCGCCACCGTGGCGGCGGCGTCTTGGCCAGACGCCACGGCCACGGTGGCGGCGTCCTGGCCAGGCGCCAGAGCCACGGTGGCGGCGTCCTGGCTAGGCGCCACCACTACGGTCACGGCGTCCCGGCAGGACGCCAGCCGCCAATTCGTGGTTTTAGATGGCTTCGTACCTCCTTTTCCGGCGTCAACGGCGTCTCTCCGGTGCATCTACCCGACGTTGAGGGCTCTTCGGTTTCACTCGGCGATCCAGTCCTGCTCCACATTTTTTATGAGTGAAAAATTTTATTTTCGGTAAAAATTAAAACAAGGGCAATAATGTCAACATTTTTAAAAAATGTGGGCTTTATGTAGAAAAACGCGGGCGATGTTTAACAAATCCCAACAACAAAGCTTCATTGACTACAAGAAACCAAAGGGGATACGTAAAACTAGCTACGGAGTACTACCTTCATTTTTCAAGTTTTACCTGCGATTCAATTGTAAATGTAATTAATTAATTATACTACTCCGTGCTAAAAAGTATTTGGTCTAGTGATGAGAATTGGTACAATTTGTTAGTGATGATTCTCTTACCCTTCGCCTTAAACCGAAAGGCTATTGCTCAAAGACAAGATTGCATTTAAGTTGAGTAACAAGCCGAATAAAGCCTAAAACTTTTGGAGCAAGCTGCCAAGATATGATACATTAATACCTTAGGCTCAAGCTCAGCTCATTAACACACTTTAATTCTTATAGCTTCTGCATTAGATGTAATCGTAAGCTGGGTTAGACTATCGTTCGACTAGACAGGGCCAAACCGACTAATGACCAGTTTTGATACTCAACAAGTCTAATGCAAGATTTGCAACTATTGCCTTGCTGAAAACTCCCTTTGTGCCTATTGTCTGCAGTATTGCCTAGCCAGCCTGTGACAAGATTAGGTTGTCTATATAATGCCTCATTTAGGAGCTGTGTACTTGTAATAATGTACTTCCTCGTCATTGTTACATTACTAGTTCAAATTAGCACTATCAACATGACTATTAGTCAAGGCCGAGGAAGTACTGGCTGTGAAATTTGTTGTTATGCCAAGAATAAATTTCAACATTTTACTGAAGATTCTAAACTGAGGTCCTTCTAGGCACCAACTCAAGTGCTAAGATTAGGCATTAAAGCTCAGACCTTAGAACTGTTAGAAGACTATGAATCTTGTTGATGTATTTGAGAAGTTGAGCCATCTATTCTGATGTCCTGAAAATGCAGAAAATGAAATTACATAGGGATATATAATTGGGCATACTTGCAGCCTGTCAAATAATCAAGACAACCTCGTTTTGTAAGGTTCAGACTCCTTCATTAGAAAAACTATGCTGATATATCCACACTTCTTCTGGTATAGCGTTTAGGGAATGAACACGCTTGCACCTCAAACAAACTGAAGCATTGTCTCAATAACACAAGATCAACTAATTATATACTTTGTGTTAGTATAAGTTAATCAATCACATTTTGGTCCCAGGTCTGTAAGAAACAACCTCTCTACAGTCATAAAAATCATAATTCTGCATTCTCTGGGCTATATATCCTTACCCTGATCTAGACAAGGGCCAAAACTGTAGTTCTTAGAAAAATGTATAGCCACTTTCCCTGCTTTTTTTTTTTAATCTCAGAGCAAACATTTAACGGATCATCCACCTATATAAATTGCAATAAATCAAAGCATGATGAGGCCTAGAAATTGCTAGAATGGGTACCATCACAGGCTCCCTTAATCTGTTAACCACAGTAGCATAAAACACATTGAAAGGTTAGAAAATTTGTCTCCGATTGACGATATTGCGTTACAAATCGTATATCACAAGCAAATATAATCACACAAACATACAATCAAATCCTTGAAAACCTGCTAAACAACACAAATTTGTAGAAATTTTCCACAACCAGTAAGCATATGTCCATAGATGATACAAAACTAACCATATGTCCGTATATAATACTATTACATTAGCCTATAGCCCTATATAACTCTATACATATATAATCCTACTAATGTATCAAGATCCTACACTTAGCTTATACACACAATTAATTTGGGGTATGTAATACAAAGTTTAAAAGTATAAGTCGAATACTGTATACCAATCACCATATTTTCTGCCAGCATATATCAGTCTGAAACGTACATCCCATATCTTGCTGTAAATTTCAAGCAACTTTGAACTTATACCAAGGAACAGCAGGCTGCCCAGGACACCTCTTTAGCTTAAACTCGAAAATAAAATTCTTGTAAGGTCCTATCTTCTTTTCATAGCTCACAACCTTATACAATCCATCATAGATGTAAGCAATCGGATCGTATCTCCCATCCCTAAACTTAGCTCCAACCCTAAGCCCCCTCACGACACGAACATCGTTCTTGGCGATCATGCTATTCTTCATAGCAAGATTACCACTAACAAGCCTCTGATCCTTAGGACAAACTCCCTCCTTGTTCCTAGCAATGCCGCCTTCCCCAGTATAAGTGATCACCTGAGAATCATCCATTTTATCAAAATACCCTTCTTTAGCCACTACACAAGTAACAAGAGACTTCCCTTTATACTCCATGTAATCAATCCCATGTTGAATTCTGCCGTGTAGTCCTACAATAGTCAGTTCAACCCGGTACTCGAATCGATCCCCAACCTCAACACCTGGTACGGAACCTATGACTTTGCTTGAAGAAATTTGGATTTTCCCCTGTTTTAATAACTCTTCCTTAGCTTTGAAATCAATCCTCCTTATATCCTTTATGGAAACCGAAACTCGGGATCTTGAGATTTCCTTGCATTTCGCTCTGAACATTGAAAGAGTTCTCAAAATTCTCACCCTCTCTCCTCCATCTTCCTTCCTGTTTAACGGGGTTTTCTTCAAATCCTCATCAGAAAACAGAAATGCCTTGCGTTTAAAGCTACCAGCAGCTTTTTTATGAATAATATTATTATCATCTCTGTAATTCATTGTTGAAGATTGAATGGTTTTCTTAACACTTTCTGTAGAATGTGGTTTGGTTTTGATAGCAGAGACTTTGCGCCACCATTTATATGATTCAGGAATTTCAAACGATGGCAATTTGACGAAGGGTCGGCTCTTTGAGGAACCACAACTGAGGTCAAAGTCAGATTTCATGGCAGAAAATTTCAGAGAAAAACAGAGGAGAAGATCAATATTAATTTTAGGTGACTTACTGTGGGGTGGAGTGGGAGTGATAATGATTGAAAATTAAAGAGGGAAAAATGTACTGAGAATGTACTGAACTGATGAGTTTGCTACTGGTGTGAGGTTGAGAAATGGAGCCATGAAAAATAACTATGTAAATTTTAAGAAAGTAAATAAAAGAAAATAATTGTTCTACCATGTTCATGATACAACCGATTGTACCATGTACATTCGACACAAGGAAGGTGGTGTTATCACTATGGCTGTTACTCGTCCAAATGTACATTACAAATTTGGCTATGTTATCTCCACTACAGAATGCATATGTTTGAAGCTATGTACTCTCTCACCACCCAATTACCAATGCGTACAAACATGAAACATATTATGATTTAGTGGAATAGTGGTAAATTCTAGTATGCAGAATTCTATATAAAGGTATAATGCATGATAAGTGAAAAGTTTAGCATCATCTGTCTTAGTACAATAGTACTTGTTAAGAATCAGTAATATCTTTGTCAACGAATTTGTATGCATACAATAACAGACAGCTGAAAGTTCATATCAGTGCACCCAAAACATTTATCAGTCGATACGTCTGTGTAGGCAAGAATGTGTGGAAGTGATATAGGGGATATGTAGGAAAGAATTAAAATGCACATTAATGCACAGTCCATGACAGAGGAATGATCCAGCAAATAACAGTGCAAACTACTCACAGAACGATTAGCAATGAAAGTATGAAACTACTTGAACAAATGAATAAATATGCAGTGTGCATTTTAAGGATTATAGAGATACCATGAAGGTAAATTCAAACTTAATTCTGTGGAATAGAACAGATAAGGTAATTGGCTTATTGCTCACAAACAAGAGGATGGTGTACTGTAGGTTATTCGAAAATTACCAGATACTATAAACACTCACAGTTACTGCATCAACTTTTTACAGCACAACCACTTGGCTACTTTAGTTGATAGTGCCAATATTGGCTCTCTTTAGCACTGCAAATCATGGGCTCAATCTCAAGCCTTATTAATGCTTTCACGCGAGTCATGTGCTGAAGAATAAAGGGTTAGGCTATGTTTAGATCAATCGCCTTCAGAATTACAGGTCTTAAGTAAACAACCTCTCTACAAGCACAGCAAATAAAGCTGCATCCGCATACAGTATGTAGGTGGAGCACTGAAGCATCAAACTATCAATCACACTATTTTTCATGCTTTTTCAACAGAACATTCAATAGATCATCCATCCGAACAGAATAGCAAAGAGTACCATTACATGATTATAGGTTCACATCCTCAGCAATATTGTTAACCAGAGAAGCCGAACCCTAACCATAACCGTCTATGATACATAATAACAATACCAATTAAGCCACCCTCTGAATGGTTAGTAACTGCAGCCCCAATTAGTAATCAAGCTGCAAATCACAGAACCATTCATAATAGAATCAATGTAGAACATGCACAATGCATCAAACTCGTAGAAAAAACCACTCACAACTCATAAGAATGAAAATTGTGCAAGATAACATTCAAGAACAGGATTTATTACATTTAGCCTAAAACCTCATTACAATTCAAAGTACTGCTCAAATCCCCCTATAACATGTATTATCAGCAAAATGCCTACACATTTACACATTGCATATTTGTAACCATACTCATCAGTTCTATATAGCTACTCAACTAGGAGTTAGAAAATTATATACCAATCATACTTAGCTGGTTAAAATCATCTCAAACCTCCACAAATTTCAAGCATTCTTGAACTTAAACCAAGGAACAACAGCCTGTCCAGGGCACCTCTTCAGCTTGAACTCGAAAACCATATTCTTACTCGGTCCGACCTTCTTCTCATAGCTCACAACTCTATACAACCCATCATAGATATAAGTCACTGTTTCATTCCTCCAATTCCCAAACTTAGCTGCAATCTTAAGCCCCCTTATGACACGAACCTCGGTTTTCGCAATCATACTGTTCTTCAATGCAAGATTGCCCCTAGTAAGCTTCTGATCAGTAAAGAAAACACCCTCCTTATTCTTAACAATGCCACCTTCACCCATATAAGTAATCACTTCATAATCACTCATTTTATCTGCATACCCTTCTTTAGCCACTACACAAGTAGCAAGTCACCTATTCAAATACTTCATGTAATCAATTCCATGTTGAACTCTACCATGAAGTCCAATAATATTGAGTTCAACTCGATACTCGAATTGATCTCCTACCTTAACACCAGGTACAGAACCCAGAATTTTGCTAGAACAAATTCTCAGTTTCCCTTCTTTTCTTAACGCTTCTTTAGCCCTAAAATCAATCCTATTTATCTTCTTCGAAATTGCATCTTTTGATTGTGAAATTTCCTTGCATTTTTCTCTAAACATCTTAAGAGTTGCTAAAACCCTCATTCTCTCTCCTTCATCTTCCTTCCCTAACAATGGCGATTTCTTCGATTTGTCATCACGTTTGGATTGAACATCAGAATCATCAACATTTTCCTTCACCTTCGAATTCCCAGTTTTAGTTTCCATTTTTGGAAAGTGGGTGTTCTTCGATTTCTCATCAGAAAACAGATTACATCTGGGTTTCTTTCCATCATACACATTTCCTTCAATCTTCAAATCTTCACCACTAAATTCCCTTATTAAAAATAGGGTTTTCTTAACTTTTTCAGAGAAGTTTGGCTTGCTCTTAGTTGCGGAAGCTTTGCGCCACCATGGAGAAGGAAACGACGACGTTTCAAAAAAGGTTTTCTTCACTGAGGAGGTTGCAGAGTCACAACCATCTGGAAAAACTCCATCAAATTGCATTGTTAAAAGATAAAACAGAGAGATGAAAACAGAGGAGGGAGAAAACCCAGAATAAAATGGAAGAAATTGTGTTGCGTAAAGAAAAGAGAGAGTTAAAAATGGTCAAAAGATGAAGTTTGAAGACAGAGAAAGCTTGAAGAATCAAATGAGAAAATACTCAGCAATTGACTGTGTGAGGAAGATGAAGAGAGAAAGTGAAAATGGATGAAAGCAAAAAAATTGGCATTAGTAGAAGGCGGTTCTTTTATTTTTGCTTTGTTGCGTTTTCATTTGTTCTTAGAAAATCCTTTTTAAATTTTACTTTTTTTAAAAAAAAAAAAATAAAGAATTAAACATAATTGGTTCTTGTATTAACTTACTAAGCAAGGAATATTAAATTTGTTATGAAGGTTAAGTTGGCTTGTACTAAAAACAATACACTCCGTGTAACTAGGGATGGCGGGTCAAGTAGGAGACCCGCCTCATTCCCGTTCTAATGGAGCAGGGATAGGCTTCGGTTTGGTGAGTCGTGAGGCGGGAATGGGGATAAAAACCATACCCGTCATTGGTGATGGGGCGGGGGTGGATTTTAGGTTGTACCTACCCTATCTTCGTTCCGCCCCACCTGCCCCATACCCATCTATGTATTTAAAAAAGATTATATACTTTTACGCTATTTTATATAAAAAAATAATATAAATAAAGTAGTAAATATAATATATTGTAATATACTTATATTAAAAATAAAAAAAAAATTATAATTGTAATATAAACAATGATTTTTTTTTTTATTGTAATCTAAATTATGTAGTGTCGTTGTATTTGGATGAGGGATTGTGGGTCTTGTGTGGGGATTAGGTGGGGGTGGATATTCAAGTGGGGGTAGGGCGGGGATGGTTTTAGAATTGGACCCGGTGGAGCGGAGATGGGGATGAATTTTGGACTCATTGCGGGGATGGGGATGAATTTTAGACCCGTTGCAGGGATAAAGATGGAAAAGCCAAAATCCGCCCCTCCCCACCCCGTTGACATCCTTGCGTGTAACATCTAAATTTGGGGAAATTGTAAACCTATGACAATATATAAAATTATAAAGTATTCGTATGTTACTAGTTTTTTATTAGTGCAAAAATTTAAACAATTTCAACATAAGATTAAACAAGAAGAATGCTAGTACAGATTAGTCCTAGAGGTGGTAGGAATAAGCTCGTATAAATATACATATGATAGATATTACAGAAAGATAATATTTGTCATAGATTTAGATATATTTTATATACGTTTTATACTTGTGATTCTAGGTTCTTTAATATGATAAGGGAAAAGAATAATAAGACTTGTAGCACTATATATATATATATATATATATATATATATATATATATATATATATATATATGGATCAATATTGCACACTTTGATTTAAGGAGTTTTTCTTCACATTACATTAGAGGACGACAATCACTAAATTATTTACCATTGTTTCTAATAATTCTTTCCAAGCAAAAAATCAGTAAACCATGCAAAAACTCGCAATCCTTTGTTTTTTGTTAATTTTCTTGAATAATTTCATAGTACAAGCTCAATCCCAATTTCCATATTTTCGAAGAGGACATATACCTGGAACTCAAATACCTAGATTTGAACGTCATCCACAGGGAAGACAATATCATCGTCTTCAACTCGGACTTGGTGCTACTGGAGCCGAATCTATTGCATTTGATTGTGAAGGCGATGGTCCGTATGTTGGAGTTTCGGATGGTAGAATACTCAAGTGGCAAGGTCATTCCGTTGGATGGACTGTTTTTGCAATAACCAATCCTAAGAGGTATTCTTATTTTTCGATATCATAATTTATAACTAACCAATATATCAAGTTTTGACTTTTATAATTTCACATTATATCAACTTTTCTTTCTTTGTCCACGTAGTGTCAGTTTAGGCAAAAAAATATTTTATTGAATTCGGATGTTGCTTGATTCAAGATGTATACAGGAGTATATAGTATGCTAGTATGAATCTATAATTATATTAGCACCAAACCCATAAAGAGTACCTTAAATTTATATAACGATGCCTCTGTATAGTGTCAAATTTTTAAGGGGTTTTTTTTTTTTTACAGTTAAAAAAATGTCAAAAAAGGTTTAATTTTTTTATTTATAAATAAACCGGTAACTAATACTAGTAAATTGATTTTTATTGTAGTCAATTCATATCTTAAATTTTAAAATAATGAATTTTGTATCTTGTAGATCAAATACATGTAATGGATTAAACGACTCCCCTGCCGAACAAAATTGCGGTAGACCTTTGGGATTGAAGTTCAACACAGCTACATGTGAACTATACATAACTGATTCTAGTGTTGGATTAGTTAAGCTGGATCGAAAGGGTGGTGTTGCTACCCCTATTGCAACCAGTGCTGAAGGAGTTACATTTCGGTTTCTAAATACTTTGGATATCGACTCCGAGACCGGTCATGTGTATTTTACCGATTCAAGTTTTCGTTATCATCGATGGTATATAATTGATTCGACTTATTTCAATTCACGTATATTGGAGTAACATGTTCTAGTTATCTAAGGGCTAACTCTTTTCTTTTTAATATAGGGAATTTCGGTCGATTAATAGAAGTGATCGAAGTGGAAGATTGCTAAGATATGATCCCAAGACCAAACGCGTAACTGTTCTACTACGAGGTCTTTCTTTCGCAAATGGGGTTGCATTGAGCAAGAACAAAGACTTTATTCTTGTTACAGAAACAACAACATATCAAGTGCAAAAGTATTGGCTTACCGGTCTTAAAGCTGGAACCGCCGAGCTATTTATCCAGCTTTCAGGACGACCAGATAACATCAACAGGAACACAAATGGTGATTTTTGGATTTCTCAGAACCCAACTAAACCAATCAAAGTTAACGAGTCCGGAACGATCCTAGAAAGTTTAGATACAGACATCATAGTTGATGCTAGCGACGTAACTGAGTTTCACAACAACTTGTGGATAGGTTCAGTTATTCAGAATTACATTATATACACTAGCTAAATTTTAGTCATAATTTTTCTATAATGATTTTGATGAACGTCTATTTTTTAAGGATATGAACGTTTATTTATTTGTTTAGTTTATTAAAGATGTTTGCTCCAATCATTTTTTATCTTATAAAACAGCAAAATACAAAATCAAAGCATTACAGAAAGATATACTTGATATGATTCTCAAAAACATTCCCAGAAGACATAGTGCACAAATAATATGCAGGCATTGAAATTTTCATCGATTGTAATGGAGAATATAAGAATGTCTAAAAAGTATTCTACCTGCATTTATTGGATGATCAACCGAAACAACATTGATGGTTCAGGGCCTGTAAAAATCCACCAGCAGTATCTGCAATTATGTAGACTTCACATACACCCTCTTCAGACATTTGATTGCACAACCAGCAGCTCATACATTCGAATGATTTTCAATCCTACATTCGAATGATTTTCAATCCTATTTGTCGAACTACTCTCCCCATATCTGCAGTGATGCAGGGAGAAGTTCAACAGCCAATAGGCTAATTATTGATGTGTAACAGATCAAGAACAAATAAAGCATGCTATATAAAATTAAGTCTTAAAACATTCATAGGATAAACTTTAAATGACAATCTTCTACATAAAGCATCAAAAGATTGATCTAACTGTGAGAAAAAAACCAGAAACAAAGAGTTATCAAAGGATCTAAACAGGACTAGGGTTTAAGGTCTTTAGCCAATTCGCACGCCAAACAGCATAACTGGTTCATGCAACTTGGGGATACAAGCACATCCAGTTTATCAAATAACCAGAAACAAAGATTTATCAAAGGATCTAAACAGGACTAGGGTTTAAGGTCTTTAGCCAATTCGCACGCCAAACAGCTTAACTGGTTCATGCAACTTGGGGATACAAGCACTTCCAGTTTCCTCGCTCCCAACACCACCAAGATTTTGTCTTTTGGCCAAAAACTGAGCATAATTCTGAGGATAAGTTCCATCTTTTATCATGAATATTATGGTTTCGAAAGAGTAGTTGCTTTGAAACTCACACTCATTAGTATCAAATGAAAAATTGAGTAACTTACGTCTACAAAGCTTCAGACAGGCTCTGTCATACGCAACAGCTGCATCAATTTCTCTTTCATAAGTTCCGAGCCAAGATCTCTTCCTTTGCACGCTGGTTAGAGCACCCCATTTTCCGTTGTACATTGGAACAACTCCTCTCAATCTTTTCAATTCCCCTTCCATGACTGCTGCTGATGAAAATAAAACCAAATAATTCTCGCTGAGAAACTTAATGTGATTAAAGGAAATAGGCTCCCCACTATTAAGACAAAAGGCTAAAGTAAGTTTTGGGACTTTATAGCTTACAGCAAAATATTTGCTGTTTTCTTAGGTTACATACAAAGACCCGCTCTACACGTAGTCAAGTACCACACAATTAGAGATCTTTAATTAAGGAAACAAATTATAGTGATTATACGGTTCTATCCAAGATTTTTACATGATCAAAGGTGCGCTGAAGAGTTGATAACATTGCAAAGATAAACTACTGAAAAATGAAAAATGCATTATAGGCTGTAGAAGCAGAACATTGGATTTTTATAATTTATTCTTGTTACAAATGATCTAACAACTAATGCCTAATTTGTCAGGGAAACTAATGGATAGTCAAATTAAAATTGAAATGAAGAATATTAACTAAAAGAAGTAATAAATTCATATGGACAAGGTGCTCGATTTGGAAAGGTACGCGTATGGGCCTCGAGTCAGGCCTTCTATTTTAGGAGTGAGCCCCTATCATAGAAGCCTAGGCACCTTGAGGGTTGGGGGAAGGAAATCTCACCCCTAAAATGTCCCTATTGAAACTTGCCCTATTAGTTTTGACCAAATGACCACAAGATAATAAAGCTAAACAGTTACCAAGTAGAACTTGGTTAGAGTACAAGGTGTATCTTCTTATAGACATGCCTCAGGTAAGCAACACATGCATTAAGGGTAAATTAGAAAATTAATTAATACTAGTAATAATGCTTATAATACATAAAATCACCATTACTTTCAGGTTCAGTCTTAACTCATATACAAATCCTATTATATTCCTGCAATCCTACTTCAATTTGTCTGATCAGACAAAGAAAAACTAGCAAAAAGAGGTCATCAGTCAAGTAAATAAGCTGACTAACACTATGTTACCAAATCCAATATTGCCCAATCTGAAAGTAAAGAAACAATTACAACAAAGAAGATTATCAAACAGCAACAAACAAGAAGGTTTAGTTGATGCAGTAGCAGTTGAGAAATTGCAAAAGGGATATTCCATTTCATAATAGCTAAATTCTTACCGCACTTTTCTGATCACACATCTCTAATCTTTGAGGTTTTGAACCATCTTTTCAAACCAGCTTTGAGCTCTTTGAATGTGATAGCATTACAATTACCAGTATCTATTGACATATAAACATTTCTGTTAAGCCAGCAATGTCATCCACTGACAAGCTTCCTGCCAAGGAACAAAAAATCATTTCCCCATTCTGTCTAAAAACATTCATATTATGTGATTAATAGCAGAAGAACATGAGCATGAACACAAAGAAGAATAAGTACACAATCTATTAGGTCTCGAGAAGTCCAGCTGTATGCATCCTTAACAATTCTTAATCATTCAGCCAGTATTCAGAAATAGGCTCCAGAAATTATCTTTTACATACTCATGGCACATCACATTAATTCACAAGCTAAGTCAACTCAAGCCCTCAACTGGTTTCCATAATCCACATTGTTATGTTTCGATTCTACTACAGAAAACTGAATTTATTAAGCTGTTTTCAAGCATTTAATAAGCATTTTACATAACTATCCCACATCATTAAAACTCAGCTAAAGACAGGTCACAGGGGTAAAGATAGACTATGGTGTACCATGAAGCTCATGCATAGCATTTCACACAACTAGATATAAGCAATATATTTTTCTATTGTATAGAAAGCAAAAGAATAGACCCTTCACATAGTTAAAACAAGATATACCTCATAGGCTCATACACAACAGAGGATGTGATAGACATAAACATGGATAGTTGTCAACAGAACAATTGTTTTGCTTTATTTTGTTTGTTTCAATTTTATTTTATTTTTTTATTGCTTCTTCATCATTACAGTTTAATGCAACTACTCGAGTTAATGCAGGAAGAATTGTTCTCATCATGGCTTACTTGCATATGTGGCGTTTAATAAATAAGATATCTTATTATATTCTCGTCAAATCCAAGGACTAGCATCTGCAAAATCCTCAATTCATAAATAAACCTTGAGAACCTTCTTCATGAATAGAGATCTGACCCACTGAAAACATGATCTACGCATCTTCATGATGATTTAACCATCTAGGTACATACTAGAAATAAGAGCATTCTAATACTGCATAGGATGTTTTTGCAAAGAAATTGTCCAAAAGGAAAGTATGCACGACAAACCAGTTAAGAGATAATCAAGCCTTCTATCATGTTTAAAAAGTAGAAACACTCATCCTCTTAAATAGAGTTTGTAAGTGCAGATGAGAAAAATTAGGCTAAGTTTCTGAGGACCAGCAAAAGTTTGTATGATTCTCTTATATAAGCTTTATTAGTTCCACGTGCCTATTCAAGTGCAGATGCAACCAAATGTCCACCAGTACTAAGTTTCAACATAAACATTGATGAGACATATTCGACGGAGTAAGACATTCGAAAGAGCCAAAGTAGATGTTTTACATCACCCTATTCGAAACCATCACTCATTATCTCTCATAAAAAAAACAAAAGTAATTTTACCTTCCGTCTAGATCAGCATAAAAGATCACAGCCAGCATAATTCCTGCTAATGCACAGCTCGCATTTGGCCCTATACTTCCCAGACCTTCATTACCTGTGAATTTATACAAGCAACAGCTATCTTGCAGAACCATTTCTGCCTCCCCTTCCTTTCCCTTACCCTCCAAGAAAGATATATATATAATCGAAAGAAATCCAATAAAATGAAGTACAGAAATGGATTCAAAGGTTTTGATCTTAAAAACAGAAGACATTGAAAATGAAGACTACAATAACAAAATGAAGGAGCACCGTGTTTTTTATCACTGGATAAACCATGAAGGGTCACATTTTCAGTATCTGCATAATCTAATAGCTTTAACACAGACCTGTATAGACTCCTACAAACTATATTAGCTTTAACAAGTGTGACAATATATCAAAATAATTACATGATTCTTAATAACAAACATTCTAGGCTAAAAATTAGAGTAACTAACACCTTTCAAGATGAAGCAATACTAGTCTGAATACACAAGCAGTGCACACCTTCCATTTGCACAGTTAGAAAGGCACAACCCAAAACCTCAAAACCAATACCTCCTACAATCTTGCCATGGAACTGCAGGCTGTCCATCACACCGTGCCAACTGAAACTCAAAGATCATATTCCCTTGTGGTCCTTTCTTTTTCTCCCATTTACCCACTTCATACAAACCATCATACACATACAACTTCTGACTATTACTCTTCTCAGATACAAGCCCTCTAATCACTCTAACAGGCCTTTTCTCCTTCCAGCTAGTCCACAAGGCGCGATTCCCACCCTTAAGCTCCTGATCGGGAGGAACCCCAACTTCATGGCGCTTAAGAACACCTCCTTCCCCAATATAAGTCAAGGCATTAGGATCATTCATCTTGTCTAAATGCCTCTCATTAGCAACAATACTCGTTGCTATTCGACCCCCATGCCACTCCATACTATCAATCTCTCCTTGAGTCTGTTTATGTAATCCAACAATCAACAACTCAATCCTATAATGAAACTTATCCCCAACGTCTACCCCGGGCACATTCCCAATCATCACAGCTGACCTATTCACAATCTTCCCTTCATTTTTCAACTCATTATATGCTGTTGTATCAACCCTCTTAATCCCCCTTCCACTCATTGAAATATCTTTACACCTCTTCCTAAACAAACTCAACATTTCAACCACTTTCTCCCTC